TTCCTCAATATCTTAAAAGCTGTTTATGAAAAGCCCAAAGTGAATATCATTCTCAATGGGGAAAAACTGAGAGCCTTTCCTCTAAGATCTGGAACACAACAGGAATGTCCACTCTCTCCACTGTTGTTCAACATAGTACTAGAAGTCCTAGCCTCAGCAATCAAATAACAAAAAGATATAAAAGGCATTCAAATTGGCAAAGAAGGGACACATGGGTGGCTCAGGGGTTGAGCATCTGCCTTTGGCTCAGGGAGCGATCCTGGGATCCACAATCGAGTCCTACATCAGGCTCCCTGCAGGGATCCTGCTTCTCCCTCTACCTGTGTCTCTGCCTCTCTCTCTCTCTCTCTCTCTCTCTCTCTCTCTCTGTGTGTGTGTGTGTGTCTCACGAATAAATAAGTAAATCTTTTAAAAAAAAAACTGGCAAAGAAGTCAAACTCTCCCTCTTCGTAGATGACGTGATACTGTATATAGAAAACCCAAAAGACTCCACCCCAAGATTGCTAGAACTCATACAGCAATTCAGCAATGTGGCAGGATACAAAATCAATGCACAGAAATCAGTGGAATTTCTATACACTAACAATGAAACTGAAGAAAGAGAAATTAAGGAATCAATCCCATTTACAATTGCACTCAAAAGCATAAGATACCTAGGAATAAACCTAACCAAAGAGGTAAAGGATCTATATCTTAAAAACTACAGAACACTTCTGAAAGAAATTGAGGGAGACACAAAGAGATGGTTTGTCTACACCGCCCTTAATGAACCAACCATAGATTATGGCTTTCAGAAGTTGCAGAAAGTGATCCCAAGACATCTGGGTGATCCCGAAAGGTTACCCAAGAAGCCATCTCTGATTTTCAAGGCAGAGTTGAAAACACAAAATGAAAAATGAAGTCATAACATTACGACTATTTTACATTCCATCCCTGTGTGCACCCAAGTCTTGACCACCTGAGTTTTATTAACACAATAAAACCTTTTAGACATTTAAAAAAAAAAAACATTCCATGCTCATAGATTGGAAGAATAAATATTGTGAAAATGTCTATGCTACCCAGGGCAATTTACACATTCAATGCAATCCCTATCAAAATACCACGGACTTTCCCAAAGAGTTGGAACAAATAAGATTTGTATGGAATCAGAAAAGACCCTGAATAGCGAGAGGAATATTGAAAAAGAAAACCAATGCGAGATCTCAAGCTGTATTACCAAGCTGTGATCATCAAGACAGTATGGTACTGGCACAAAAACCGACACACGGATCAATAGAACAAAATAGAGAACCCAGAAATGGGCACTCAACTCTATGGTCAACTAATATTTGACAAAGCAGGAAAGACTATCCACTGGAAAAAGGACAGTCTCTTCAATAAATGGTGCTGGGAAAATTGGAACAACCACATGCAGAAGAATGAAACTAGACCATTCTCTTACACAAAGATAAATGCAAAATGGTTGAAAGGTCTAAACATGAGACAGGAATCCATCAAAATCCTAGAGGAGAACACAGGCAACACCCTTTTTGAACTTGGCCACAGTAACTTTTTGCAAGATGCATCTATGAAGGCATGGGAAACAAAAGCAAAAATGAACTACTGGGAATTTATCAGGATAAAAAGCTTCTGTACAGCAAAACAAACAATCAACAAAACTAAAAGACAACCTACAGAATGGGAGAAGATATTTGCAAACGACATATCAGATAAAGGGCTACTATCTAAGATCTATAAAGAACTTACTAAAATCAACACCCAAGAAATAAACAATCCAATCATGAAATGGGCAGAAGACGTGAACAGAAATTTCACCAAAGAAGACATAGACATGGCCAACAAGCACATAAGAAAATACTGTGCATCACTTGCCATCAGGGAAATACAAATCAAAACCACAATGAAATACCACCTCACACCAGTGAGAATGGTGAAAATTATCAAGACAGGAAACAACAAATGTTGGAGAGGATGTGGAGAAGGGGGAACCCTCTTGCACTGTTGATGGGAATGCAAACTGGTATAGCCCCTCTGGAAAATAGTGTAGAGGTTCCTCAAAAAGTTAAAAATACAGCTACCCTACAATCCAGCAATTACACTACTGGGTATTTACCTCAAAGATACAGATGTAGTGAAATGCCAAGACACCTGCACCCCAATGTTCATAGCAGCAATATCCACAATAGCCAAACTGTGGAAAGAGCCATGATGTCCTTTGACAGATGAATAGATAAAGATGTGGTCTATATACACAATGGAATATTACTCAGCCATCAGAAAGGACGAATACCCACCATTTGCTTCGACCTGAATGGAACTGGAGGGTATTATGCTGAGTAAAATAAGTCAATCAGAGAAGAACAATCATCATATGATTTCACTCATATGGGGAATATAAGAAATAGTTATAGGGATTATAAGGGAAAGGAGGGGAACTGAGTGGGAAAAATTAAAGGAAATAAACCATGAGAAACTCCTAAGTCTGGGAAACCAACAAAGGGTTGCAGAAGGGGAGGTAGGCGGGGGGGTTGGGGTAACTTGGTGACAGGCACTGAGGAGGGCACTTGATGGGATGAGCACTGGGTGTTATACTATATGTTGGCAAATCGAACTTAAATAAAAACAAATGAAAAAAAAAAAACCATTATATATCAGGGTGCCTAGGTGGGGTTGTCAGTTAAGCGTCTGACTCTTGCTTTCGGCTCAGGTCCTGATCTCAGGGTCATGGGATCAAGCCCCACATTTGGCTCTAAGCTCAGTGTGAAGTCTGCTTGAGGTCTCTCCTTCTCCCTCTCCTGCTGCCTCTTCTGCTTGAGTTTACTCCCTCTCTAAAATAAATAGAGCTTTAAAAAAATTATGTATAATTTGTTCCCATTACTGCAAAACAAAGCAAAAAATCCATCTACCTACCTACTTATCTATCTATCTATGAAGAGAGAAATAGAAAAAGACCTGTTAGGATACACAACAAAATATTAAACAATAATCTCTAGATGATATGATTACAGGTGATTTTTTATTATCTGTCTTCTTCAGCTTCTTCTTGTATATAAGTGTTTCTTTTCTTTTCTTTTTTTTTAAATATTTTATTTATTTATTCATGAGAGACACACAGAGAGAGAGAGAGGCAGAGACACAGGCAGAGGGAGAAGCAGGCTCCATGCAGGGAGCCCAACATGGGACTTGATCCCGGGTCTCCAGGATCACACCCTGGGCTGCAGGCGGCGCTAAACCGCTGTGCCACTGGGGCTGCTCTAAGTGTTTATTTTCCATATTCTTTTTTTTTTAAAGATTTTTTTAAATTTATTTATTCATGAGAGAGGCAGAGACATAGGCAAAGGGAGAAGCAGGATCCTGAGCTCTCTATGGGGAACCTGATGCAAGACTCAATCCCAGGACCCTGGGATCATGCCCTGAACCAAAGGCAGATGCTCAACCATTGAGCCACCCAGGCGTCCCTATTTCCCATTTTCTTTAAAATGAATGTTTTTCACTTTGATAATAAGATATTCAGTTATTTGTTTTAATCTCCTGATAGGATGCCATATGAAGTTCAGGCCATCAGTTACAAAATTTTCTTGCGTAAATAGTTTAACTTAAGTGTACTCAAGCTTTTCGGTTTAACTTCTCAATTGTAGGAAAGAAAAAGACCATGTTCTACAACACCACTAGGAAATCATCAGACAAATCAACAAGGGAGGACATTCTATAAGATAAATGATCTGACATAATCAAAAAGTCACTGTTATAGGAAAAAACAAGTGGTAGAACTGATTAGATTATCTAGATCAAAGGTGACACAACAGTGAAATACAAAATGTGAAAGAAACTTCATTGGCTTCTGCTTATAAACAACACCCACAAAAGACATTTTTGGGGAAAAAATACATTTTGGGGATAATTATGGAAACGGGTAGAATATTGGATCATATGGGAGCTTTACTATTAATTTTCATGAATGAGATAATGGTGTTTTGGTTCTTTAACAGAATGTATAGAAAGTCCTTATTTCTAGAAATTCATGCTGAGGTATTTAAATGTGAGATATCATGATGCCCGATAGAGAAAGCGAAATATCAACAGTTCAATCTAAATGGTGAGTGTTCACTGCAGTGTTCTTGGGGAAAAAATTCTTTTAAGACTATTAAGCTTCCAAATGGCAAGGACTGTATCCTCTCAATTCTGTATACCCAGCACCTAAAACACATCCTGGTACAATAAATGTCTGTTGAGAAAATGAATAAATTAAAAGAAGCCCATATTTTGAGATGCTGGGCTTTGGGGCTGGTAGAAATGGTGATGCTCTACAAGTTGCTGCCATCTGCTGAAAAAATTAACAGATATAAAATCTTCTGTATTGCCTGGCATATATCAGGTACTCAGTAAATGTTAGTTCCCTTATTTTTTCCCATTCCTTTTCCCCTGATACTCTTTAGACAAATGACAGATGTCATTAAAATCAAACAACTATTTGGAAATTTATAACATAATAGACAAACCAGAAAGGACAACTAATGGGGTTGAAACAGACTGAATTCATTGAGTTAATCAGAATGAATGGACATTCTTTTTGGACAAAATACTATATGAAAAGCCCTTGCCTAGACTTTGACGGACATGAAAGAGAGGTCTGAAATAGTAGCAATCATAACTATAATAACTAACTTTATATATTTTACCTCACTGAATCTTTAAATTCACTGTAGGTTGTACTATAATTGTCCTCATTGTCTTAAGTGAGGAAAGCAAGGCATGGAGAAGTAGCCAAATGTCACAGAGTAAGTATGTGGTAGAGCTGGGATCCAAACATACTAAAGAGCTCTTGCTCTTAACCACCACTTTCTATTCTTGCCCTTGTCCTATTCCATGTGAAGGGTGGAATGCACTTCTATCCACTCTTCTCAAAGATATGTTAGGAATCTTTCTAGACAAAATTATTATAGAGTGTTACAGGGTCACTTAAAGCAAGCAGACTAGATAAGGAAGTAACCACATACCTGCAGAACAGATGGGATTTTCTCCTGAAGTCCTGAGCCTAAAAAGAGGGAAAGAGTATGTTGAATAAAATTAGATACCCACATTTAATCTACACAGTAACCAAAACTTGTATGCTTTTCATCAAGGATAAGTCAATGCTAGATATTTCCTTATTCCTTCCTTCCCTTCTTTCCATAAACATCATTAAGTACCTATTATGTGCCAAACATCGTGAAGATGCAAAAATAAGTAAAATGTCTCTATATACGGCCTAGCTGGGAGAGAGGTATGTAAACAAATGTGATCCACAATTTCATGCTGATCCAGAACAAACACTTGTTCAAGATTTGATGGAACACCAAGTAAAGTGTGGTCATTCCAACTAGGGGGGTAAAACCATGTGACCTGAGTTTTAAAAATGAAGAACTGTTCCTGATTACTTAGCCTTAAGGAAAAGCATTCTAGGGAAAGGCGTGAAAGTGGTATGCTCTGGGAAGAACAAACAGCTGGGTGTGAGTGGAACTTAAGCAACAGGGAAAAGGCAGATTGGTGAAAGAGATGAATCAAAGGCCACGTCGTGAAGAACCTCATGCTCTGTGCTAAGGAGTTTGATCTTTACTATATATAGGCAGTGGGAAGCTCCTAACAGAGTTTAAGTGCAGGGCCACTATGATCAAGTTTTAGAAAGTTAACCCTGGGGTCCCTGGGTGACTCAGCCAGTGAAGCGTCTGCCTTTAGCTCAGGTCATGATCTCCAGGTCCTGGGATCAAGTCCCCTGCCAGGCTCCCCACTTGGCGGGTAGTCTGCTTCTCCCTCTCCCTCTCTCTCCAGCTTGTATTCTCTCTCTTTCTCAAATAAATAAATAAACTCAGAAAAAGGAGAAGAAGAAGAAGAAGAAGAAGAAGAAGAAGAAGAAGAAGAAGAAAAGAGAGAAGAGAAGAGAAGAGAAGAGAAGAGAAGAGAAGAGAAGAGAAGAGAAAAGGAAAGGAAAGGAAAAGAAAAGAAAAGAAAGAAAAAAAAAGAAAAGAAAAGAAAGAAAAGAAAAGAAAAGAAAAGAAAAGAAAAGAAAAAATTAACCCAGGCAGCAGGTGAGCGATGAATGGGATGAGGTGAGACTGAGGCAAGAGAACCAGTAAGGTGGTCCTTGCAGTAGCCCTGCAAAGAGGACAGAGAGGAAGGAACAGCAATGAGAACAATGAGAGCCAGACTGAATACAGAAGTTAAAGAATATGGAAGAGAATCATACGGCTCTGTTTGGCTCACCAGGTTATCAGATATTTTATTTGAACTCAGCATCCTGCAAAGTTTCAAAACTAAATTGTAGTACAAGTTGGAAACAAGCAGATCTGTGATTAAATGTTGACTGTACCATTTCCAAACTGTGACCTTCCATATGTTCTTTCATATCTCTGTAACTCAGTTATCTCATCTCTTTAAAATGCAGATAATAATAGTATAATCTCATGGGACTGAAAATCTATCTTAAACTCTCTGAGCCAGTTTCCTTTTTTGTAAAATGACAAAATCTATATTTGTCCTCTAATGTTTTTGTAAAAATTAGAGAGAATGTGTAAAATAGTTCTATAGTAAGCATGGTGCTATAGTAGTACTTACTGAATAGTCGTCTGATTAATGATGGGAAAATAGATTAAGATGGAAAAGAAATCATAGGAGAGAGGCTTCAATAAATGTAAAGGATTATGCAGGCTCATAAGTGCCATGCGATCCAGGGAGATATATAATTCATTGTTTTATATCATATGGCTGCCACACGTAAGACATTCAGTGAATATCTGCTGAATAGAGAAATAAATTACCAAATACCATTCATTACCATCTAGAGAGAAACAGTAGGGGGTAGCAAACTGTATATGCAAGGCAGTGGAAAAAAAGAACTTGGGTTTGAATCCTAACTCCAACTCATATTAGCTATGTCATCTTAGAGCAATTAATTTACCTCTCTGGACCTCAGTTATTTATGTATAAAATTAAGATAATAAGACCCATTTCACCAGGTCACTATGAGGATCTATTCATTCATTAAACAAATACTTATTAAATGCCTAATATGTGCCAGACACCATTCTAGGCTCTAAGGATACAGCTGTAAACTAGACTAACAAAATCCTTAGGTACATAATGCTTGTATTCAAGGGGGTGGGTGGGGAAGACAATTTAAGTAACCGTACATATACCTATATATAAAATGTGTCAGGTGGTGATACCTGCAATGAAGAAAAATAAAGCAAGGTAAGGAAATAATAAAGACTGATGGAGGGAGAGGACACTATTTTACATAGGGTAGTCGGGGAAGACCTCTCTAATGAGATGATATTTGGGCACAAACCTGAATGAAGTGAGGAGATCAAGCCATATGGATATCTTTTTTTAGAAAAAATTTTAATGGGCAGCCTGGGGGGCTCAGTGGTTTAGCGCCACCTTCAGTCCAGGGCCTGATCCTGGGGATCCGGGATCAAGTCCCTTGTGGGGCTCCCTGCGTGGAGCCTGCTTCTCCCTCTGCCTGTCTCTGCCTCTCTCTGTGTGTCTCTCATGAATAAATAAATAAAATCTGAAAGAAAAAAAAAGAAAGAAAGAGAAAAGAAAGAGAAAGAAAGAAAGAAAGAAAGAAAGAAAGAAAGAAAGAAAGAAAGAAAGAAAAGAAAAGAAAAGAAAAGAAAAGAAAAGAAAAGAAAGTAAGTTTAAGATGTATTTATTTATTTTAGAGAGAGTTCATGTGTGTGCAAGCACATAGGGGCAGGAGCAGAGGGAGAGGCACAGGCTCCGCGTTGAGCGTGGAACCCTTAGCAAGTAACCAATGTGGGTGGGGCTCGATCACACGACCCTGAGACCATGACCTGAGCCACAATCAAGAGTCTGACGTTCAACCAAGTACCCAGGCACCCCTAAATTTTTTTAAGTAGGGTCCACCCCCAATGTGGGCCTTGAACTCCCTGCTTAGCAGGGAATCTGCTTCTCCCTTTCCCTCTGCCCCTCCTCTGCTCCTGCTCTCTCTCTCTCACTCTCTCAAATGAATAAATAAAATCATTTTAAACATTTTAAAAAATAAAAAGAATCATTTTGATTTTATTGTGAAGGATAAAAGGGAAAAGCAAAAGCAAGGGCCTAAGTTAAGAGGCAGGAGGATGGTAGTAAAGAAGATTAGAAGGAGCTGGTCCCTAGTAGTTTAGCAAAACAGAAAGCATGAGACCTGAAACTGGAGGTGACAAATGATTTTATTCTGTCTATATTTCAAAAGTAGAGCTGAGAGGATTGTTAAAGAATCGGATGTAAAGTGAGAGAAATAACAGTGTCAAGGATGACTCCACGGACTTTAGCCTGGGCAACTAGATGAATGGAGTCATCATTTCCTGAGAATGGGGAAAAAGCAAAATGGCAGGGGTGTTAATACCCAAGATGCTCAGTAGACATTTAAGTGGAGATGATGAAAGAAAAATGATGGATGAAATACCTAGCAGAATGCAAATATTAACTATATTTAACCACTGTTATTAATATCCTTACCTTAAGAGAAAAAAGGCTTGCTTAAAAATGGTATCGGTCCTCAGACACAGCATCTACAGCAAAATAGTCATGTTAGAACAATCTTAATTATTCATAGCCTTCCAAGCACCTCTTCAGAAAGAGGCTAGAAACCCAAAGTAAACAATGCAAAAAGGGCCCCCAAATGCTCTTGTCTAGCAAAGAATCTGTCCTTCAGTGAATCCTGAACATGAAGACAAATCAAGGTCTTCCACATTCTTATTCTACCTACTACAGAAAATGCTAAAAAAAACAGAAGTCCCCCATCCATGCTGCCTTTTTTTCCCCTTTACTTTCCCTTTCTAATTTGATCTATTTTTTTTCTTATATCAATCAACAGTTATGCATCTGCCAAGCACAGGCACTGTGGCAAAGGACTTAAACCATTCCCTAATTCTCAAAAGACTGCAAGACAATTTCACAGATGAGACTACTGAGGCTCACAGAGTATTCCAAGAAATTATGGCTAATAAGTGTCTAAGAGGACTGTTTTACTCCACAAAAAAGTGTGCCTCTGTTACAGCACACTGTCTTAGTAATAATAATGTCATCAATATCAACAAAACAATAATAATGAGAGGAAGCAGTAGCAATGGCAGCTTTCCTCTCTAAGTTTCCACCCTCCCTTTCTTTCAAACTCACTCTGCCCTGCTGGCACCCACTGGAAACAACAGTGGAATAGCTTTACTAAAGGAGTGTTTAACATAAAGGTCTTTTTATAAAGCAATTAGGTAATAAATTCTAAATGTCCTAAGGCCCCATAACATGAAGAGAAATTCCTATCCTCTAATGGTAACAATTTAATCAATATGTATATCATATCAATATCAAACAATCCTTTCAATGTGTATATGTTAAAATCCTATTACACAAAAGAAAGTCTGAGAAACTGTCACAGATAAGAGAAGCCTAAGGAGACATGATGACTAAATGTAATATAATATTCCAGATGGAATCCTGGAAAAGAAAAATGACATTAGATTTTATAAAATGAGGGCAGCCCAGATGGCTCAGCGGTTTAACTTCGCCTTCAGCCCAGGGCCTGATCCTGGGGACCCAGGATCGAGTCCCATGTCAGGCTCCCTGCATGGAGCCTGCTTTTCCCTCTGCCTGTGTCTCTGCCTCTCTCTCTCTCTCTCTCATGAATAAATAAATAAAATCTTAAAAAAAAAATCTTAAAAAATGAAAGAAATACGAATAAAGTATGGACTTTAATTAGTAATAATATATTAATTTCAGTTCATTATGAAAAGCATACCATACTAATGTAAGACAGTAATAGGCAAAACTGGATATGAGGTACATGGGAATTCTCTGTACTATCTTTGCAACTTATCTGTAATTCTAAAACAATTCTAAAATAAATATTATTTTTAAAAAGGCTATTATATGCCAACTACTGTGCTGAGTATTAAAGGGAATATAAAAACAAAATGTAACAAATAGACAAACTTTGAAAATATTATGCTAAGTGAAAGAAGCTAGTTTGAAAGAGAAAAATACTGTATGACTCCATTAATATGAAATACCCAGAACAGGCAAATCTATAGACAAAGAAAATAGATTAGTGGTTGATTAGAGCTGGAGGGTTTGGGGTGGTAGGGATGACAATTAAGAGATAATGGAATTTCTTTTTGGGGTGATGAAAATGTTCTGAAATTGATTGTAGTAATGGATGTACATTCTGAGTATACACACACACACACACACACACACACACACACACCTGTAATCTCTAAGCCCAATGTGGGGCTCAAACACGTGACCCTGGGATCAAGAGTCACATACTCTCCCATACTGTATTGACTGAGCCAGCCAGGTACCTCATACTTTGAATATATTAAAAGTCATTGAATTATATATTTTAAATGGGTAAATATATGAATAGTATCTCAATAAAGCTGTTCAAAAAAATGTAAGTACAATCCCTATCCTGAAGGAGTTCAAATGATTGGAGATACAGACATACACCTGTATTAAACAGCTAAACAGAGCCACAGTTATTATAGGATTTAAGTCAAAATAGGTGGTATGAATAATAAGCACCTCTGGCAGGAAATTCAGGTGGAAATGGCCAGGAGAAGTTTTTAGCTTTTGGAGTGTTACGTCTGTAACACTGAGCACATTGAGAATGTGCTCAGTCATGAACATTCTCCTCAGAAAAATACATATAAGCACGAATATCCAAAAGTTTGCACACTACTTAGGGAGATTCACTGGAACTCTTCAAACACTCATACATCACTATGCTAAACAAAAACTCCTCAGGGGCAAGGGTCATGTCGTATTCCTCTCAGGTACACTGTAGACATTCAATCAAAATTTGTTTTTGTAAATAAATAAATGATTAGAAAGTGAATGAGTGATAATCATGGCTACCATTTATTAAGCATCCACATCTATTTTGTTCAGTACCTACCATATATCTAAATCATAATTCCCTTACAGAATATTATTATTCTGTATTATTATCCCATTTTACAGTTGAAGAAATGGAGATTAAATAATTTACCCAAAGTCAAACAGCCACTATTAGAATTAGCATAGGATCTTAGGATTCAGATCTAAGGTCCATTAAGTTTCCCACTATTCAACACCCTCTCTCATCAAATCTGTTAGTGCTTAAGAAATCGGGGGGGGGGTACCCTTCAGTGGCTCAAGTCAGTTAAGCAACCAACTCTTGGTTTTGTTCAGGTCATGAGCTCAGGGTTGTGAGATCAAGCCCTGCGTTTGGCTCTGTGCTCAGCATGGAGTCTGCTTGAGATTCTCCCTCTCCTTCTCCCTTTGTCCTTCCCCACTACACCTTCGTGCTCTCTCGCTCACTCGCTCTCTCTCTCCGAAATAAATAAATATTTTATTTTATTATAAAATAAATATATATTCTGTTCACTCATCTCTATTCTGTTCATCATGGTTGATAGATCTTGGGACTGGAGGAACCTTAGACTCATCTATTCTAACTCCAGAGAGGGGAAGTACTGGCAGAAGTACTGGCTAGTGGCTGGAGCTCCTGTCTCCTGGGGCTCCTTGTTGTCTTCCCTGCCTTTTATGCCAGCCAATATTAGGTTAAGCATACTGCACGCATAATTACAAAGTCCTTTAGTATCCAATTTAATTGCAGTTTTTAGGATCATCTATGCATTTTGCCCTTCCTTCCATCTATTCATATCATTTCCAATCTTCTCTTCATTCTCTGGGAGACTTTTCCTAAATTTGTTCAAGCTTCTCCCTTCCCCCTCCTCAATTTTTTTTAAACAATTTATTTATTTATCTGAGAGAGAGAGAGAGAGAGAGCATGAGTGAGGCAGGACAGAGGGAGAGGGTCTGAACCGAAACCAAGAGTTATATGCTTAACCGACTCCGCCACCCAGGCACCCCCAGAATATATTCTTAAGTAGGTCACTTCATACAGAAGAGGAACTGAATGGGAAGAAAGATCTAGATGACACTGATTTTTTTCCCTCACGTTAATCACTCAGATTTCTCAGTCTCTACAAAAGCAAAGGATTTAATTATCTAAAAGCCAGGCTTAAGGGTTGACAACTTTCTGGAAGACATTCAAATTGTGGTGTGAACTCTCCCTTTCAGCTCTGGGAAATGTGCTTCCTCTCCCCTGCAATGCTCGGCATTATTTATCAGAACAAAAGTAATCTATTTTGGGACTATATCCAAAAATACCCACTCCCCCCAGTCAGCAAATGAAGAGCGGCTATAGCTCTGAGGCAAATAAAGAGGGTGGTGATGTTAGTGAATGAATGAATGAACAGGGACACAGCTGCTGCAGTGGGTTACAAAAATACTTGTGCCGTGAGCTCCGGAGCCAAGAACAGAGGGACTGCACAGCTACTAAAGACTTAAGTAATGAGGCCAAATCTAGACCGTATGACTAGCTTCACACACCAGAACCCTTAGGTGAGTGGAGACAGTAGTGAGTCAGGGGCCCATGAGGCAGGCAACTAAAAGCTGTTTTACAGGTATTAACAGAATACTTTTGTTTATTAACAAATATTTAAAATGGCAGTTTCTACCGCTTACTGAGTATATCCTTTGTGCTAATCATTTTACACATACTATTTCAGTTCATCTTTACACTACTCCGATAGAGACATAATTGAGACAATTGCATCTATTTTACAGAGGAAAAATGAGAGGCTTAGGAAAATTGTCCAAAGTTATAGGTTTGATAAGAGGTACCAAGAATTCAAACCCACGGCTGACTGAATCCAAATCCCATGTCTTCCAGTCTACCACACTACCTCTCAAAAGAGTAATACCAATTCATGAAATTCATATGCTAATAATAATAGTATCAATAATCCTACCATTTGTTGAGCACCTGCTATATGCCAAACATCATTTCCTTAAATCCTCACAACCGTTCCGTGAGGTAGGTTTTTCTACTCTCATTTTACTGTGAGGAAAGTAAAGCTTGGAAAGGTGAATCAATATGCCCAAAGCACACAGCTGGCGAGTGGTCTTCTAGCTGACCTTTTCCCAAGTTCTTTCAAAATTGCTTTTGTTAATAGTTTTCCCTTTGGTCTATATATCTTCTTAATATGTTTAATATGTTGAGTGTCAAAGTCTGTCTTTGAACTAAGTCTTTATGGCAGTTAAGAGCACAGGTTATAGATTCACACAAACATGGGTTTGAATATCAAAACTTCCACTTTAATAGTTGTATGATCTTTAGCAAGTCACTAAAGAAATACTTGGCCTTGTGTACATATGATTTAATTTACATGAAATGACAAGAACAGACAAATCTAAACCCACAAAGCAGATTAGGGGTTATGTGGGGATGAGCAGAGGGATGAATGAGGAATGACTGCTTATGGGGTTTTTTTTCGAGTAAAGGAAATGTTCTGGAATTAGATAGTGATGATAGCTGCCCAACTATGTAAATGTACTAAAAACCACTGAATTTTCCATCTTAAAAGGGTGGATATTATAGTATGTGAATTATATCTCAATTTTTTAAAAAAGAGCTTTCTGCCTGTGGACGCCACCAAGTAAGCATTGTTAAAGTTTCCTCTCC